AAGAGGCGAATCTGAGTATGTCTCCCTACAGCTAAAGGAAAATAATTGGCATTTCAACGAGGGGGGGAAAAAAAAAAAAGGCATCTACCGTAACATGCTCTGTCTGATTTTTTTTTTTCCTGGATTTCAAGCAAGAGAGCTAGAAAATTTGGAAAGGAAATGCAAAGTGAGAATAGGAATTTATTTAACCATTCTAGATTTTCTGCACATCTTTAAATAAGTTCTCAAAAACCCAGAGACCACAATTGCAACGAAACACATGTGCTTCTACTCTCGCTACACACTGTCCTCCAAAGCCTTTCCTTACTGTCCCCTCTGCTCAGGCTCATCTTCTGCCTGTGTCCTGTAGCCCCAAAACACAAAACACATTTAAAATAGCTTTTAAAACTCTTAGAGCATTTGATTTCCTGTCATTTTATAAAATGACGTTAGAGGTCTTATGGAGACTTCCTACATGAATTTTTTTTTTTTTTTTAAAAAAACAACCTTAATTAAAAACTTACCCTATAAAAGAAAGCAGCTGTAAATGCTGAACCTGACCATCAGCAAACATGCCCACCTTTGTAATTTCCTAACGGCATTTTCTGCCTTTGCGTGATTACCTAAGGAAATGCAATCACACAGGCAGTTGCCCCTTAAACCCTCTGGTCAAATCCAACCGACTTTGACAAGAGACGTGGAAGCCTCAAAGTTAAGACGTTCCTGCAAATTTGGCGAAAATGAGCAGCCGGGTAAAGGACCCAAACCGAGCGCTCAGCACCCTGCACCCGCAGCCCTTCGCAGCCGCCCGCCGCCTGCCTGGCTGGGGCCGGGCTCGAGGTGAACCCGGGGGAAATTCAGATTTTTAAGCCACGTCCATCCCCTTTTGCAGGATCACCCCTCCCGAGGTCTACTGACCTGAAATGCCGAGAAAATCCCAGGAAAAAGCCGAGAAAATCCCAGGAAATTCCCAAGATACAGGCCAGGACATCGAGGTCCTTAGCAACCCTTCCCTCCCTCGATGACCAGCTTTTAGCAATAGTCCCAACGTTTCTGCACCTTCTTTTCTGGGTTTGCAGAACAGTAACTGGGAGAAGTTACCGGCATGGTCTGGAGGCGTAATTTAACCTTCTATCCCAATTCCAAATTTTGCTTGGGCAGACTGGAAGCAGAGGGCTTGCTCCACAGCTGGAAGAGAAACATTTTGTTTCAGTTGCACAAAGACACGAATGGACAAGAGTGTGCCTTTCTTGATGCTACACAGTCA